CTCACAAGGGGATGCCACCTCAGGGGGGTCAAGGCCCAGCCTTGGAGGTCCAGCCAAACCACCGGGGGCCACATGCTCCGTCCCCATAAGATTTTGTTCCCCTAGAGGAGAAGGGAGTTCAGAGAATGTGGAGGCCCAACCAGGTTTCCAGCACGGGCTTCTGAGGAAGAAAGGGGGTTCCAGTTAACCCATCTACAGGACTCCTCCACAGCAGCCTCAGTGAACCCCTCAACATCTTGTTCTAAAATACACCTCTACCCCTGAAGCGGGGCTCTGAGGTAGATCTTCCTCCCTCAAGCACGGCCTGCTGTACCCTTGAGTCATGTTGCCACAGTTCCAGCACCACAAGTGGAGGGTTCTCTCTGGTATCCTTGGGGTTCTCAAACAGCATAAGGTGCTGGAAGATGAGCGTCTGGGACCACGTCGGAGCTGCGGAGCTTCGTAGTGTCTGGGTACACAGGCTGTAGTTCAAGAAGACCACTCGAATGAAGGGCTCTAAGGGAGGGAGGAAGGGCCGGGCGTCACTGCTCTAAACTGCTAAGTGAGGGTGTCCTCTCGCCAGTGGTAGCCATTAGACCCGAGGCGACTCAGGATGGGCCGCCACTGCCACTGCCAGCCCTTGTAGAATGCAGCTTCAGCAGGAGCTGCAGATCAACTGCCTACCCCACAGGCCAGGGGAACCTTAGCTTCCATCCATGTGAATGCCATGCCCGCTGTGGTTACAGCTTGGCATTCTCAGGGATGAAGGAAAGAGGTTTTTGTGAAGGAGTCCTAGGGGATAAGGCTTCCTATTATTATTATTATTATTATTATTATTATTATTATTATTTTGGATTTTCAAGGCAGGATTTCTCTGTGTAGCTTTCACGCCTTTCCTGAAACTCTTTCTGTAGCCCAGGCTGGCCTCGAACTCACAGAGATCCGCCTGCCTCTGCCTCCTGAGTGCTGGGATTAAAAGTGTGCGCTGCCGCCACCACCACCCAGCCAAGGCTTCCCATTATTGATCATCCACAGCAGCACTGAGTGTCCTTTAATATGGTTGGGGATGCTCAGGGGACACAGAGTTCATCAGACATCCCAGAAGCCCTGCCACTCATTGCTTATCTTCTATCACAGTGCCATTAACAGAACAGGGTGGGAGTACTCAGCTCACCTCCTGAATGATCTTGTGGGTCTTCCTCATACAGGGCCTCTCTCTTCTACAAAGCCTCAAATGACATGGTTCCCCAGCATATCTCCTCTCTCTCTCTCTCTCTCTCTCTCTCTCTCTCTCTCTCTCCCCTTTTCCCTCCCTCCATTTCTTTTTATATTGTATGCATTTATAGTTTGCCCACATATATGTCTGTGTGAGAGTGTTGGATCCCCTGGAAACAGAATTACAGACAGTTGTGAGCCGCTGTGTGGGTGCTGAGAATTGAACCTGGGTCCTCTGGAAGAGCAGCCAGGGCTCTTAACCACTAAGCCACCTCTCCAGCCCATTGAGCCACTCTCTTTCATGTCCCATCCTCTCTTCCAGTCCTCTGCCATGCAAGCTTCTCCCTCTTCTAGGCCCTACTAATTGACCCCAGGTAAGTGACTGAGTGCCTCAACCCCCCTCCAAATTTCACAGCATTGGGGTCACATCTCAAGAGCACCCTGGACTTTGTAGTCTTTGTTTGGTTGTCTTTACCCCTAAATTACAGTCGTAAGCTTTGTACTGGCTAGTTTTATGTCAACTTGACACAAGCTAGAGTCATTGTAGAGGAGAAAGCCTCAGCTGAGAAACCGCCTCCACAAGACCGCTTTGTAGGCAGGCTTATAGGGCATTTTCTTAATTAGTGATTGATGTGGGAAGGTCCAGCCTATTGTGGGTGGAGTCACCACTGAGCTGGTGGTCCTGGATTCCATAAGAAAGCAGGCTGAGCAAGCCACGAGGAGCAAGCCAGTAAGCGGCACCCCTCCAAGGTCTCTGCCTCAGCTCCTGCCCCCAGGTTCCTGCCCTGTGTGAGCTTCTGTCCTCGCTGCTTTCAGTGATGAACTGTTATATGGAAGTATGAGAGAAAAAAAAGCCTTTCTTTCCCCAGCTGCTTTTGGTCAGGGTGTTTCATCACAGCAATAGTCATCCTAACGAGGACAAGCTGCTTGGGGGAGGGATCTGAACGTCAGACATTTATCACAGACGTAGGTGGATGTGTTGCCAGGCCTTGGGGGATAGGAGACAGGGCTGAAGGACAAGGGGCATTCCTACCCTGAAAGGTCAGGATCTGGTTGTACATCAGATTCCGGGCCCGGTAGATATAGCAGAAGAGCTGGTAGTAGTGAGGCTCTGGGTAAAGAGATCTCATTGGTTACCTGGCCCCAGCTCTTCATAGGCTCCTCCCTCCTCCCTGTCCTCAGGCTCTGGCCTCTGGGGCCACTCAGCAGACTCCCAGGCCAGGGCTCACTGTTGAAGATGCAGTAGATGAAGGGCATGGTGGGGGTCCGGGGATTCTCCGGGGTGTGTTTCCAGGAGTCCTTCCAATGTTGCAGTGACCATGTTTTATTCTGCTCCTTCTTAGGCTGGCTCTCCAACTCCACTGCCTGTGCCCAGAAAGGCCGCCTTAAGGTTCTCAGTACTCCCTGACTCCTCTCTCCAGACCCTAGCCCCCCCCCCCCCCCCCCCCC